CTCATCTCAGCTCCAAAGGGTCATCCCTTCATTCTGAGGCTAAGCCCTCGAGTTGTAGTCTCTGCTACTAGTGGAAACATCATCTCCACATTCACTATATCTAGGCCTCAGTATTTTGTAAGTTTCAATGCAACTCCACCCACATCCTTCTAACGCCATTGAGTATAGACCCAGAGTCCCCAACTGCTCCTCATATGACAAGTTCCTCATCCCTGGGATCATTCTTGTAAACCTCCTCTGGACCCCCTCCAACGCCAGTACATCTATCCTTATGTATGTCATACAAAACTGCTCACAGTATTACAAATGCAGTCTGACCAGAGCCTTAAACAGCAGCAGAGTACATTTCTGCTCTTGTTTTCTAGCCCTCTTAAAATGAATGCTATTATTGCTTTTACCCTCCGAACTGCAAACTGAACTTGCATGTTAATCTTAAGAGAATCCTGTACTAGGATTCCCAGGTCCCTTTGTGCTTTAGATTGCCAAAACCTTTCCCCATTTAGGAAATAGTTTCCTCCCCCATTCTTGCCAAAAAAGTGCCTAACCTCTCACTTTCCCACATTGTATTACACCTGCCACTTCTTCACCCACTTTTCTAGCCTGTCCAAGTCTTTCTGCAGCCTCCCAGTTTCCTCGGCAGCATCTGTCCCTCCACCTACCTTTGTGTCATCTGCAAACTTAACAACAACGTCCTCAATTCCTTTGTCCAGTTTGTTAATGTATAATGTGAATAGTTTTGTTCCTAACATGGACCCCTGCAGAACTCCATTAGTCACTGGTTGCTATCCTGAAAAAGACTTCTTTATGCTTAGTCTCTGCCGTTTGCCTGTCAGCCAATCCTCTATCCATGCCAGTACCTTGCGACTCTTATTATTCAGCAGCCTCTTCTATGAGACCTTGTAAAAGGCCTACAGGAAATCATAAGTGATGAGCTCTTTTTTGTCTAATTTGCTGATAACTTTCTCAAGAATTCCAGCAGATTTGTCAGGCATGACCTCCCCTTGATGAAGCTGTGCTGACTCAGCCCTGTCTTACCATGAACTTCCAAGAGCTCTGCAATCTCATTCTTAATAATGGATTCTAAAATCTTAGCAGGCTAAGGTCAGGCTACCCAGCAATAGTTTCCTGTCTTTTGCCTCCCTCTGTTCCTAAATAGGGGTGTTACATCAGCCATTTTCTAGACCTCTGGGACCATCCCTGAATGCCTGACTCCAGTGATTCTTGAAAGATCATGACCGCTGTCTGTACAATCTCCTCAGCTGTTTCCTGGTTTTCAAAGGCTTCTCGATCCTTTGGTTTCCCATTAATCCTAACCACATTGCATGCTTTTTCTTTTACTTTTTTGCTGTCCCTGACTTCCCTTGCCAGCCATGTTTGTTTCATCCTCCCCTTAGTATGTTTTTTTTCTTCTTAGTTCATCTGGTCCGGGTGATTTATTTGCCTTAACACTTTTCAGCTTTCCCAGCACCTTCTCCTTAGCGATGGCCACTACACTCACCTCTGCCCCTTTGCTGCCTTGAAGTTCTGGTATGCTGCTTATGTCTACCATTATGAAAACTGATGCAAAGTACCTATTCACTCACTTCCCCTTTTCTTTGTTCCCTCTACTACTTCTCCAGCATCATCTTCCTGTGGTCCAATGTACGTTCTTGTTTTTCTCTTACCTTTTAGATATCTAAAAAATACTCTTGCAGATTTGTTTTATGTTACTATCTAGCTTACTGTATTTCATTTTCTCACCACTTACTGTATTTTCCATTATCCTCTGCTGGTTTTCAAAAGCTTCTCAATCCTCTGGCTTCCCATTAATCTTCACCACATTGTATGCTGTTTTTTTACTTTCATGCTGTCCCTGACTTCCCTTGTCAGCCATGTTTGCCTCATCCTGCCCTTAGTGTGTTCTTCCTTGGGGTGATTTTTTGCTGTGCCTCCCGAAATATCCCAGAAACTGCTGCCATTGCTGCTCCACCATCTTCCTTGCTGGGCTCCCATTCCATTCAATTCGGGTCAACTCCTCCCTCATGTCTCTGTAGTTACCTTTACTCAATTATAATATTGTTACATCTCGTTTTGGCTTCTGCCTCTCAGGCTGCAGGGTGAATACTATCATAAAGTGGCCTCTTGCCCTCTAGGGATTCCTTCAGCTTAAGCTCCTTAATCATGTCTGCCTCATTGTACATCATCAGATCCAGAATTGCCTGTTCTGTCATGGGCTCTACCATTAGCTGCTCCAAAAAACCTATCTCGTAGACATTCCCCAAATTTCTTTCCTGGAGATTTCCTACCAATCTAATTTTCCCAGTCCACCCAGCAAATTGAGGTCCTCCATCATTGTTGCCATAGTGCCATTGTTACATGTGTTTCTGTCTGCTGATTTATTTCTTTCCCCACATCCTGACTACTGCTAGGATGCTTGCACACAATTCCCATCAGGGTCTTTTTCCCTTTGCGATTCCTCAACTCTCCCTACACATTGTAAGCCTTCTGACTCTATATCACTTCTTGCTATTGGATTTCGCTTTGTTTCTTACTAACAAGGCAGCCCCACTCCCTCTGCCCATCTGCCTTTCTTTTTGATAGAATGTGTATCTTTGGATGTTAATTTCCCATTCCTGATCCCCATGTAACCACGTTTCTATGAAAGCCACAACATCGTACCCGCTAATTTCAAGCTGTAATATGTAAGCTCAATTACCTTGTTTTGTATACTGTGTACATTTAAGTACAACACCCTCAGCCCAATGTTGTGCCTCCCTCGACATAGTTGTCCCCTCATCTGTGTCTGAAGTTAGATTTCTGACCCTTTCCGTACTCTTAATACTTTGCATCTGCCTTTACTAAAGAAGAGATGGCTACCTATGCCACATGACAGAGGAGGAAACTGAGACAGCAGAAGGGTTTAAAGTGTGAGGAAGGAGATGTTAGGGATGTTGTTAGTACTTAAAATTGGTTAAAGCATCGAGACCAGATGAGATACACTCTAACGATGTTGAGGGAAAGAGTGGAAGTTGTAGAGGTAAAAGCAATAGTGTTTCAGTTTCCCAAGATGCAAAGAATTGCCAACAGAACATTTTATAGTTGTAAATAAACCCAGCAATTATCGATTGGTCATGGCCATTAAGCTTGTGAAATGATTACTTTGGATTAATTGTCACATGGAAAAATATGGGTTAAATAGTAAGAGCCAGCAGTTTTCCTAAGGGAAAACCATGTCTAACTAACTTGCCAGAGCTGTTTTGGAAAAATAATAGTGTTGATGATAGTGATACTGTTGATTACAGTATAAATGGTCTTCTAAAGGACATTGAATACAGTGGGACACAGCAGACTTGAGCAAAGTTGGAGCTCCTGGAATAAGTGCGTCAGTAGTAAAACATGGATACAAAATCGGCTGAGAGATAGGAAACTAAAAATAATGATTGAATATTTTTCAGCTGGAGGAAGGTTTGTAGTGGATTGCCTCATTTTGATTTTGAGGGCCTTGCTTTTGCTCAGTGATATTTATGATCTAGATCTTGAACTGCAGAGGACAGTTTCCAAGTTTGCAGATTATATAAAATTTGGAAGCTGCCTTACCTCTGAGGAGGACTGTCTAAAACTACCAGAAGTCCAAGTGATTTAAGTGGCAGATGAAGGTCTATGCGGAAAATTGTGAAGTGATACACCATGGTCGAAAGAACATGGAGATGCTGTGAAAACTAAAAGGTGCTGTCCTAAAGAGTGTTTAGTAGCAGAGAGACCTCGGTGTATAGATATGCATAAATCACTAAAACTGGCAGGGTAGGTAGGGTGAGCAGATGATAAAGGCTTTATGAATAGACACGGAAAGTACAGGAGCAAGGTGGCTATGCTGAACTTGTGTAAGGCACTAATTAGCCTTCAAATGGAATATTGTATACAGTTCTGCATGCCATACTTTAGGAAAGATGTGAATACAATGGAGCAAATGCAAAAGAGGTTTATGAGAATGGTTCCAGTGATGAGAAATTTCAGTTATGAGGATAGATTGGAGAAGTTGGGACTCCCTTGGAGAGGAGAAAACTAAGAAGGGATTTGATAGATGGTTTCAAAAACTTGAAGGGGTGGACAGTGTGCCAGGGAGAAGGAGACAATAAGGACTGCAGATGCTGGAAGCCAGAGTGTATGGGTGTGAGGCTGTAGAAACTGCTTATGTGATGTGAGAAAACACTTTTCCATACAGTGGTTAGGGCCTAAGACATATGGTTGGGAAGTGTAGTGAATGCAGGTTCAATTGAGGAATTCAAGATGGCATTAGATGATTATTTAAATAAAACAATATTCAGGGTAACGGGAAAAAACAGAGAATGGCACTGAGTCAAAATGGTTATTCAAACAGATACAGCAGTCACGATGGGCTGAACAGCTTTTTACTGCACAATGATTCTCTGAGAGTTCTATTAGCTTCCACTACTTGTTGTTCTATTAAAAATGTCTGCATTTCTTAAACGACAAGGGAGCATAATTTTAAAGTGGAAAGCAAGAGATTTCAAGGGGATTTGAGGAAAAATGTTGACACCCAAGAGTGATTGGCAGGAGACCTCAACCTTTTAACAAGTACTTGGATGAGCACTTGAAGTGTTATAACATTTCAGGCTATGGACCTAGTATGGGAAAGTAGGATTAGTGTAGGCAGTATTATATTTTTGTGGTCCTGACTTGATGGGCTGAATGACCTCTTCTCTTCTGTACTGAATAGTACTTTGAACAGACTCCCAAATAAAGTTATACTTGTAAATCCACTGCTGATGATGCTGTGGTTGGGTTTTGCACTGTGTTATAATCTAAATCAGCATGCTTAAGATACTGGCTGTTGTACTTTTGGCATGCACATATAGCAATAAAATCATCTGCTTTTTAACTACAAAATTTTTGGCTTCCATGTCTTCCAGGTTTGTCTAAACAGGCTGTTTGCCAGTATACAGTTGCTATTTCAGTTGTGTCAAGTAAGTAAAGTTGGAATTATCTGTCTTTTTTTTTAGGGCATTAAAGCACGAATCCTGGAAACATTGGTTATGCTTATTCTTCTTGGTCTACTTATTTTGGGAATAGTCTGGGTAGCATCTGCTTTGATTGATAACGATGCTGCCAGTATGGAATCTTTGTATGGTGAGTGACCTAGAAAACTATCAGAAATTTGATTGATTTTAAAAATTCAATTATGTATGTCTACATTTTTTTCTTTCTCCATTTTTTCATGTAACCAGCTTTCAAAAATGAATGTTTGTTAAGTACAGATTATTGGAATGTTTGCTGTGTGGAATTCCTGACAGTTTCATAGGAATAGATAAGAAGCTGCAACCAGAAAAATGAAGTTCCTTGCATTATGGAATTGTATGCAGAATAGCAGATGTTCAGAGTTTATTCATAAAAATACAAGGAGTTTTCTAATTGGTTTGCAGGTGACAGTACATGTATTTAAACAAAAACAATATTTGTCCTTATTGAGTCAAATCAATTAAGCATTGTATAATCTATCCCAGTTTTGTATTTTAATACAGTAGATTTGATTTTCATATACCACATATCCTGTGTCAAGAATATTTCCGAAATAATTTTGAAACGTGTGACCGTGGTCTTACACACAATTTAAGTGACCTTGGAAATGCAGTATTGCTGATCGTTATACTAAGGCACATAATGAATGTTTGAGATTTTTAATACTCCATGTGTACAAGAATTTATACCAAAGCACACTTATTCCATTGAGCAGGAATTGTTGGGAATGAACCAAAAGCCAAGTTGAACAGGTGCTTCGGAAATGTTTTTGACAGGTTGGAACAAAATGAAAAAGTCAAGTTCCGAGGCAGGGAATTTTAGAACATAGTTGAGAGGTATAATCGGCTAGGTGCAGAATAGGGTAAGGTCATGAGAAGGTTTGAAAGCAGAGAAGAAATGGTCTGTTCATATTAAATCATATGATTGCTTTAGTAAATGGATTTCTGTTATAGTACTTGTCTTATAATAGAAGGACTAATTTTACAGCGATTATAGAGGCCATATACAGTGAAACAGATTCTCAGGTCATTTATCTCATTCTTGTTTGTATGAATCTGTTGCTTGTGGGGCATTGTTAGGCAAATTGCTCATTGCATTTACCTGTGTTCAAGGAGGCCTGTGCCTGAAAAGTACCTCATTAGCCTGGAGGGATCTTCCTGTATTTTGATGTGCAAGTGTAGTAAAATGCAAGCCTTTTCATTCAAAATGTCAGAGACTGTGACATGGTACATACAGAGATAGTAGGACCTGCCATTGCTGGAGTCTGACATAACAAGGTGTAGAGCTGGATGAACACAGCAGGCCAGGCAGCAGCAGTGGAGCAGGAAAGCTGACGTTTCGGGTCTGGACCCTTCTTCAGAAATGGGGCAAGGGAAAGGGGCTCTGAAATAAATAGAGAGAAGGGGAAGTGATGATAGAAGGTGGATAGAGGAGCAGATAGGTGGAGAGAAGATGGACAGGTCAAGGAGGCGGGGATGGAGCCAGTAAAGGTGAGTGTAGGTAGGGAGTTGGGATGGGGTTAGTTAGTGTGGAGGGAGGGGCGGGTAGGTGGGAGGGAAGACGGACAGGTCAAGGAGGCGGGGATGAGGCGAGTAGGTAGGAAGTGGGGGTGGGGGTTGGTCAGTGAGGTGTGAGGAGCGGATAGGTGGGAAAAAAGATGAACAGGCCAAGGAGGCAGGGACGAGATGGGCTGATCTTGGGATGAGGTTGGGAGTGAGGGAGATTTTGAAGCTTGTGAAGTCCACATTGAGACTATTGGGCTGCAGGGTTCCCAAGCGGAGTATGAGGTGCTGTTCCTCCAGCCTTTGGGTGGCATCGTTGTGGCACTGGAGGACGCCCAGGATGGACATGTCATCCAAGGAGTGGGAGGGGGAGTTGAAGTCGTTCGCGACTGGGAGGTGCAGTCGTTTGTCGCGAACCAAGCGTAGCTGCTCCACAAAGTGGTCTCCAAGCCTCCGCTTGGTTTCCCTGATGTAGAGGAGGCCACATCAGGAACAGCGGATACAATATACCACATTAGCGGATGTGCAGGTGAACATCTGTTTAATGTGGAAGCTTTTCTTGGGGCCTGGGATAGAGGTGAGGGGGGAGGTGTAGGGACGTGTAGCACTTCCTGCGGTTGCAGGGAAAAGTGCTGGGGGTGGTGGGACTAGTGGGGAGTGTGGAGCGGACGAGGGAGTCACGGAGAGAGCGGTCCCTTCGGAAGGCAGATAAGGGTGGGGAGGGAAATATATCCTTGGAAGTGGGGTCAGATTGCATGTGGCGGAAGTGGCGGAGAATGATGCGTTGAATCTGGACGTTGATGGGGTGATACGTGAGGACAAGGGGAATTCTGTCTTTGATGTTATTGTGGGGAGGGGGTGTGAGGGCTGAGGTACGGGAAACACTGGAGATGCGGTCGAGGGCGTTTTCGACCACTGTGGAGGGGAAATTGCGGTCCTTGAGAAACGAGGACATCTGGGATGTCCGGGAGTGGAATGCATCATCTTGGGAGCAGATGTGGCGGAGGTGGAGGAATTGGCAATAGGGGATAGCATTCTTGCAGGAAGGTGGGTGAGAAGAGTTGTATTCTAGGTAGCTGTGGGAGTCAGTGGGCTTGAAATATATATCAGTTTCCAGGTGGTTACCACAGATGGAGACAGAGAGGTCCAGGAAGGAGAGAGAGGTATCCGAGATGGTCCAGGTGAACTTAAGTGGGTGGAAGGTGTTAGTGAAGTGGACGAACTGTTCAAGCTCCTCGTGGGAGCATGAGGCAGTGCCGATACAGTCATCGATATAATGAAGGAAGAGGTCAATATAGCTGCGGAGAGAGGGACTGTTCCACGTATCCTACAAAGCGGCAGGCATAGCTTGGGCCCATGCGGGTACCCATGGCCACCCCTTTTGTCTGTAGGAAGTGTGGGAGGATTTGAAGGAGAAGTTGTTAAGGGTAAGGACAAGTTCAGTTAAGCGGATAAGGGTGTCGGTGGAGGGGGACTGGTCGGGCTTGCGGAAGAGGAAGAAGCGGAGGGCTTTTAGGCCATCTGCATGGGGAATGCAAGTATGTAGGGACTGGACGTCCATGGTGAAGATGAGGTGTTGAGGACCAGGGAATCGGAAGTTTTGGAGGAGGTGGAGGGGGTGGGTGGTGTCACGGACATAGGTGGGGAGTTCCTGGACCAGGGGGGAGAAAATGGAGTCGAGATAAGTTCGGTGGGGCAGGAGCAGGCAGAGACGATGGGTCGACCAGGGCAGTTGGGTTTATTGATTTTGGGAAGGAGATAGAAATGGGCGGTGCGGGGTTGGGGAACGATGAGGTTGGAGGCTGAGGGTGGGAGAACTCCCTTTTTTTCCCCAAAAAGATGAGGTGACCACACTATTAGATGGAAGACAGTATTTACATACACCATGCCTCCCCATATGTGCCCTGTGACAAATCTATTTTTCTACATTCTTATGTTTGTGTGTGTGTGTGTGTGTGTGTGTGTGTGTGTGTGTGTGTGTGTGT